TCCACCTCTTTCCATGCAGGAGTATGATTGTGTTTGATGTAGTGTGGGATTGGGGAAAGGGCAACTTTGGATTAATCAGCTTGGATTACCCTCAGGTTTTCTTGAGGGGTTGCTGCCACCCATTTGCACTCATGGGTGGTTAGAACCACTTTTGGGAGTTGTGTCTTGCCAGAACATGACATAAAGACCTACCTGCTCAGGGCTTAACCCTTTAACTTCCAAGAGTGATCAAGACAGAATTTCTCATAACATTATCAATACAAAAATCAAGAAGACAGGTGATTGAAAAAATGAAAAACATCAAGTAGGGGAATACTAGTGATCCAATACAAAATTCTCCAAACTTTCATAATCAGATTTGTATAGTAGACAGTAGAAAGATCTTGGAAGTGAAAGGGTTAAACTTGCACATTTTGGCCAATCATCTTGGGATTGAAGAAAAATTCTCATCAGGGCTCAAAATAACAGCTGTAGATGGACCATGTGCAGTCAAATATAGGTTTTGTGTGGTCAACACCCTAGATGGCCAAACAGTTTGTGCAGTTGTTTATTCATTTGAAGAGGAATTTAATGCTGAGCTAAGTTCAGGTTTTAAATATGACTGTATCACTTTTCTATATATTTGTTTTATGTATATTTGTTTTACAAGGGGAGAGGGGAGTTATTGAGATATGACTTATGGTATTTGTCCAGCCAAACATGGTTTGTGTTAGAGCAAAAATAGTTTTGACCGGCCAACTTGATGGGGGCCAGCTGGAAAAATTATAATGAGCCTTGCTTATTACCTGTAGCACAGGCCCAACCTTTGAGTATATTTCAAGTGGCTTTATTTTAACTTATATGTACACTTCTTGCCTTTTTCCAGGTGATCAAATTGTTTCCGTCAATGGCAATCCAGTATTGGGAAAGTCATATTCACAAGTGATTGAGCTCATAGTTTCAAGGTCAGTAATAAGGTCACAGCAATGTTTGTTGCATTAACGAGTCTTCCCTCACCAGTTGTCTTCTCATATAAAGTTCTGTCAAGGTTTTATGAGTCATTTGATCACCCTTCAGTACGAAATGGTTGTGAATGGTGCACATACCCAGTACTACTGGCAGGAGCCACTTACCATGTTTCCAATTTTGTTCACAAGATTTCTCTAAATAGTTATTATTCTACTTCTCAGCCAAGAACTCTTGGAACTAGGCATCATTCCAAAAGAAGATTGTGTCCTTCAAATGGTAAGTATAGGCTTAGGTTTGTTTTTGTGTCAGTGATGATGATGACATTTTTGGTTCTTGACTCCCTTGTGCAAGATGCAATTAAGCAATCACTTAGTATAGCTTGTTAACATACCTTGTATTGCAAAGACTACGTAAACCTCCTACTCCCTAACATCAGTATGGATATTCTCCTTACATTTCCCAAGGTGCTGACAAGGAGAATTTGCTTTATAATCAACCTTTTTTAGTTGATGATCATTTTCTTTATTCTTGTGACCTTACTGTGTGATTCAGGGGTGAAATTGCAAAGAAAAATTAGATGCTAATCACTCAAAGGGTTAAAATCACTCCTCCATATATATAAAGGTACACACTTCAGAATCTCCTGTGCAAGTTGTCGTGGTATAGCCAACATACCCTGTATTGCACAGATTACTTGAATATCACTTTTGCACAAATTTAAAGATACACAGCTCAGGATTTGGTTTTGGTTCTCTTACTTTGAGAAATTGCTATAATAAATCTGAGTTTAGCCAGGAAAAAAAAATGAGATCACAATTTCTTTAGATCAATTTTCAATTGCTTGTCAAAAATAATCTGGGATTTCTTTGGTTTCACTTAATGTCATTACATGATTAGTCCAGAAAAGTCATGCCACTTTCATGACCAAGCAGATCCAAAACCAAAACTAATAGGGACTATTTACTTGGTCACTTGTGTTTTCGTGCACTTCAGGCAGTTAGTTTGTTATTTACTTTGAGTTCAAATTAGCTTCTGGTGATATTAATTTCTTGCCATGATTGCCTGTTGTGGTTGTTTTGGGTTTACACAACACTTGATCAAAAAGTGCCTTAATATCTTCATTTTCTGGTATTGACTAATGAATAAAAGCCATGTATCATCCCAAAAGTTCTAGACAAACAGACTAGTATCATCTGTCTCAAGGTAAAATGACCTATTCAAAATGTTGCTTGTTGAATGTCTAATTTCTTTTATTTCATGCAGGTGACTCCCACACTGTCCTCTATTCCATCAAGCATATCTGTTAGGTCACATGAATTCACCAGTCAGTCACCACCTCCTGTCAAGCCCAAACCAGTGTACAGAAGACTGTCAAGTCATGACAGCCCAACAAGAGTCATGTCTACTGTGACCATAAATCCAGCAAACTCATTCCACCTGAAATTGTCTGACAAAGATTCTCAGAGCTCTGCAGTTTATGATAGGGGTATTCCTACTCCAAGTGTCACTCTTAGGCGTGGTTCTGTGGACAGGACTGCAATGGAGAACAGGAGTTTTGTTATCACCTCAGAGAGCAGTGCTTACAATAATAATTTAAAGTCGAGAAGTTCAAGCACTTTGGAAAGTAGCTCTGTGAAATCCCCTCATATGGATGGCTCTTATTTTATGGCAGCCACCGATTCCACTGGGAGGCCTCTTGCTCTTCGTTTTGACAAAGGTTCCAAAATGGGAAACACTCTAACAGTCCTGGAAGATTCTTGGACTAAGAGCCGTTCTCATTCTCTTCCAGTGGGAGAAATGCAAGGGCATGAAGATCAAAACAGAAGCCCTGGTGGAATATCTGAGCCAGAGAAAGTCAGTTCTGTAAATGACAGGTTTGGATCAAAAAGTAAAGAACATGGTTCAGTTAGCATACCCCCATTCATGCTGTCGGCACCTAGAACTGTGGCTTCAGATAGCCCTTCAACAACATACATGAACACAAGCCCTGACATGGGGTCTCGTCAGCCAGTGGCAACAGATCCAGGTTACAGGAAGAGTCGTCCTTCCCATGAGGAGACCACATCATATCTAATCAGAACTATTGCGTCTCATATGAACAAGAATAGTCCAGTGGGGTTGAAATCATCAACAATGGGGGCCACACTTCTTGAAAGTAAAGAAGGGCTGCCTCATAGACAGAGTGGTGACACTGGGAGCTGGTCATCACAATCAAATTCGGAAACACACAAAGACACAGAATCTCCTCATCCAGCCAAAGTGCCACGGCAGAGTGAGGACCATGTGAAACAAGCTGCATATTCAAGTCAGCTATCTGTTTATCCAAACAAGCCCCCTTTTGATGAGATGACTGTCACGCGAACAGTTGGACATGCTGTATCTGAACCAGACCCATCTGCAGCAAACAAACAAGGCAGTCCAAAGCCACGTCGGGTTTCGTATCTAATGGCAACCTCCAAAGGTCCTTCCTCTTCTTCTCCATCCGACCAGAAAATTTGGTCCACAGCTCCTCAAAGCAAGGGAAAGTCACCATTGGTTGAAGCATTTTCTAATATGTTACCACCAGTTATGGTACATGTTTCATCTGGAATGGAGCTCTGTGAGGACGTGAATGAGGATGAAGGGATGGACATTCCTTCTAGTGAGCAGGAGGATGAGGTACAGTGCCAGCCAGATGTAAGTTGATAGTCCCTTCAAGTCAAATCCTCCAGCAAAGCTTCGAGAATCAAAGTTGGAGTTTAGCTTTAACTAGTGCAAGGCTGTTGGAGAAATTGTTAAGGGCTTTTGTTCAATTTTTGGGTAGTCTTGCACTTTCACACTTTTATATAATTTCTAGATTATTAACATAAATATTGGCCAACATGCTAATAGTGTAGCAGTCTATTATGGGTCTGTTATTAAGAATGAGATATATAACTAAACTCTCTTAAAGCTAACTGCCAGATCTAAATTGTTTTTAGTGTTGGGAAATACCAACAACTGAATACATTTTACTATCAAGGAATAGGTCAAAAAGGAAATTATTAAGTAAAAGCTTGGTTACTTCGTTATTCTTTATAATAATTTATTTTTGGTATACATGTAAGTGTATTGGTAACTAAGTTACTTTCTCTGTTGGCAAGGATGCCAAGAATTTCATCATTATGATAACAAATAACAAATTGCACTTTATCTATACATAACTGGGTCTGTTCTTTGTAATCACTTATGAAAATATGTATTTCAGTTTTCTCTCTGTTATTTTGTTTACATTTTGCATCCATTATGTATTGCATAGGTGTTTTCAGGCACTGGTGATGAAAAGTCTTCCAATGAGGGTACAGCCCAAAGAACAAACAGACGTATCTCCTATGTCATGGCAACGTCATCTCCAACATCTAAACATGAAGCATCACTGGAAGCTACCAAGGAAGATGAGGTAAAAACCTTTCAATGACATACATGTTGACATACAAAGTGGACACCTATTCAAAGTGAGCACTTCTTAAAAAAACTGGCTTAACCCTTCAACTCCCAGATCAAATTTGTCATTCTCCTTACTGTCAACCATATGATTCCTATAATGTCAGCTCAGAGAATTTAGCATTGGATCAACTAATTATCCCCAAATTGATATTTTTTTTCTTTATTCGCATCACTCATCTGGTTGATATTGTATTGATATTGTATGGAGAAATTCTGTCTTGGTCACTCAGGGAAGTTAAAGGGTTAAAGGAGGGTTACTTACTTAGAAACTATTAACCTGTACTGGTTCAGCTGTAGCTGAAGCTCAAAAAGTTATGAATTAAGTGGCATTAGAAATGGGTTTTCCTTGTATCCCCACCATCTAAGAGAGTAAGGGAGGAGGGGGGAGGGGCTTATTCGAGAGAGACACCCTTTTGATAACGTGGTGTAGCAGGATGACACCTTTTAAAGTATGGGAGCTTACAGTATGTTGAGGTTCAATTTGATCCCTGGTTGAAAAATGTTTATTGCCATGGCACAAGGAAGTGGTAAGGTATCAAAATGAGTGACAAGGAGAGGTTACAAGTAACCAAGCATAAAACTGAACCAAAAAACATGCATCAAGGATGAAAAGTTGTATACCTTACATGCTTTGGAAAAATTATTTAGAGAATTTACTTAAGATGTCATTGCGATAAACCTCTTATAACAACTTTGTCATTTGAAATGATGTGTGTTAAGGGTGTGTGTTACTATAATGTGCATTGCTTGCTTGGACCAAGGGCTTATGCTCAAAATTTCAGCTTTGAAATTCTTTTTGGTGGCTAATTTATGTTATCAACTCAGTTTACAATACCATATTGCCCTGTTATACTCTCCCACCAATGCAGCACCTCAGTTTCTTTAGAAACGTGCCCCTTTATTCATGAAGCATAAGTAGTTCATCCCAAACTGGATAACTGAATGCACAAAGTTTAAATTAAATGTAAAGTGTTGACAAGTCATTTCATGATCTCTCCGGTGAAGAAGCTAGAGTGCCCCTGACCTACTTCTCAAACCAGCTGTTACCTTGAGCTCTACAAACCCTTATGCTTTTTATCTTGATGAATCCACAGCTGATAAATAATGGTAATTGAACTGAGTGGAGTGCAATTTGGGCTGAAATCATATGCGTGACCACAAGTATGATTTCAGACCAAAATTGCACGACACGAGGTTCAATTACCACTTTATTACATCCATTTTGAAATCGCTCAAATACAGGCCTTGGTCAGTTAAAATATTTTATTGATGCAGTACTGAGCTGGTTTGAAATTAAATTCATCCATTTT